TCCCCCCAAAAAAAAGGCTTAGAAGGGGAGAAAAAAAAAAAAAAAAAGGATCAGGCTTGCTCAGAGTATTGGTGTGTGAGCCAGGATCTGACTCACCAGGCCCAGAGTCTCCACATCTCTGACATCTCTGGTGACAGCTGTTATGATCCCCTGGAGCTGGTTGTGACTATCAGGGAGCGGCTCCTATCAGCCGCCTTGGAGCCCTGACAACCTTCTGCTTCCCTTGCCTTGCTTGACAAGCTGTCCGCTTTGTCCAAGTTCCCAAAACTGCTGCATCCTGAATCCTTCCTTCCCCCTCCTCCCTCTCATCTCATCTCTGAATCCCCCTAATCTCTTGATCCTGTTAGCTCACTCGGCGAAAGGGGCTCATAACAGGCAGAGAGTAGAACTGTCATGTGGCATCACATTGCCGTGTCGAGACTCTTAATGTGGAACCATGTCCCATAGTGTCTCTTTCTGCAGCAAAGACTCAGTAGCTTTACCAAAGCCTCGGCGAGCCCATAGGCAAGTAAGTAAATGGAGAGAACCAGTCAGTGCCCATAACACTGAGAGGTTTACACCGGTGCCTTCCAGCTTTTTGATCAGGAAGTGCAGCAAGCATATTGAGGCCAAGGCAGGTGAAGTCACTTGCTCAGGGTTGCAAGAAGACGTGTTTTGAGGAGTGGCCTTGACTGAACAAAAACTATTCTTCCTCTCCTGCATTCGGCCTTGCTGGTCTGTTCAGTGTGTGTGAGCTGAGTTGGATTTTTTTTTTTAAATGGTGTTTAAAATGTTCACTTCGGTAAAACTCATCTATTGCCAGAGGTCAGTTCCCCTGCTTCAGTGCACTGCTACAGAAAACCATGAGTGCCCTTCCTGGGACTTGACCTTCTTGACCCAGTTGTACTGACGGGACACGGGGCTGTGGGAAGCCACTTACAAAAGAAATTCCAAATCTAGGATGGCAAAAAGCTGCATTTGAAATGTTTAGCAGATGTCCTGTAACAAAATATGCTGTGCACACGTATGCC